AAGTTTAAGTTTAAGTTAAGTTATATGTGGGTTTAGTTTGTTTTTGGTTCTCGACTTGCTCGTATGGTTTTCCCCGAGTACTATGGTTTTCGTCCCTTCTGAAAAACCATTTCCAAATTCCAATTCGATCAGGATAGAGGAACCGCATGAAAACGAGCAAAACCTGATGTAGATTCCTCTCTGGCTAAATACTGTAATTTATTTATTTTAAGAGCAGACCAGAATCAGTTTTGAGGAGCCCAACTCACCAAGTCTGAGGAAAACTTGTCCTGGCCACGCTGTAAGAAGCAAAGAGAACAAGGAATTGGGGGGAGGGGCGGGGGGAGGGGGGAATAACAACAACAACAACAACAACATCCTCTTTATTACTCTTTTTTCATTACCTACTGTCCCGCAAAGTTAAATTTTAATGAAGCAATATGAATCTTTTATGGATGGTCAAGTTGAACCGATCGGACCTATAACAAATGGTGCACATCCTTAATGTGAGATATCACTCATATATGACACCAGCTTCGTTAATTAAGATTTACATATGTGTGCTATTGTTCGTATTATGATCTAGAAATGCTGATGCAAGTGAATAGCAAGTAGGAGAGGCATTTGGTCAGAGAAGGCGGATTTAACAATTATAATCCATGCGAATTCAGATCCTTCCACGGTCAGCAGGATCCAGTAAAGACTTCTACAAGATCTTCGTTGTTTTCTTTCTTGTCGTCTACGTGTTTTTGTGGCTCTCAAGACCAGCGGTGGAAAACAAGTTAAATCGGGAAAATTATGAAAAATCCCTGGAGCAGAAAAACATACCGCTTAAAGATAACACGGCTGAGATGCTTGAGAAGGAAATACAGAGCAGAAAGGTCTCGACGGAGTTTCTGACGCACTGGTGTAGACAACAGCGGTGGAGATTGGATTGGAAGGGCATGATCTCGCCTTGTGAGAGCAAAATGGCCTGGAACTCATCAATGGACAGAACAAATGCTACTGATCCCAACAACAGCTTTATTTCACTTTGGAACATCAAACCCGTGGGAGAATACAGTCGTTTTAGCATTCAATCGCAAACAAAGGAAGGGCTTCCCAAGACACAAGGCGGTGACACATGGAGGGTCCTCCTCAGAGGGCCGTCGTCGATATCTCCGACAGTATTCGATCATGGAAATGGGACGTACGAAGTTTTGTTTCTTGCACTGGAATCTGGCGTATACACTGCAAATATCACGTTGGATTACACTTTATGTGATGGATTTAAAGATCCTCCCCGGGACTGGTTTATGATTGGTAGGTTCCTAAGTGTTTTGCAATACACCGTCAACACTTCCTTAACACGTTTAGTTAATTAAAACCTTAATTAAGTGCAAGTTTAAAGTGGCTGCTGTTTATCCCGATAACTCGATCAAGAACATACATACCAAGAGGACAGCTCCCTTAGACTGCATAATGTTCGGAATGAATCCTCGGCGTACGTCCGCGTCCTCTACGGGTTCTGGTCCTTTCATCGCACTTTGGATCCATTAACCCTTAAATTAGATAGCCTCTAGCTTGCTGCACAACTAAATTGAATTAAGGGGATTTCATGTTGTCTGTGAAATCTTGCTTTGATTTTCTAAGCAAGTCATCTTGTCGCCGAGTTAAAAATATTGAGGAACCACGCGATCTGCTTAAACTCCGTATTTTGAGTTCCGTTGGACTGCACACTGATCGATGATACAATACATGATATGAGTTCAATAATCTTTGAGGTCGTCTATCTCTCACTCAATATCACCGCTCGCTATCGTCTTCGCTTTAGATACTACTAGAGTTTTCTTTGATAGTTACCGAGGCACCCGCAGCAACTAGTTAATCCTGCAATAATGAACAACTAGACTAACTAAAATTTATTTCCAAGGGAACGCGCAAGGAAAATATCAGCGACATCCACAAGTCGATGGAAATAAAGATTATCTCCAAGAAGCTTTGTGGGATGGGAGTCCTGTCGAAATAACAATCCCACGTGCTAGTGATGGTAAGAATCTTCATGACGCTTGTAGGTCTAGTAAGTCTCTCGTTTGAAGATTGCAGCTTGTACCCAAATCCTGTATTCTGTACTTGCACAAATCCCATAATACACCTCTTTTACCTCCCAAAATTTTGCATAATCATTGTTTGCAATTTCTCCTGGGAAATGAAGATGTCCAATGAGAAATCTAAATAGTATATGACCGTTATTCTTGGTATTTCTGTGTTCTTTCCACAGCGTATTTTGCTTTACAACGCTTTCGCTACTTCGCGCATGTGCCAGGCAGGCTTCCAAGTTCTCGACGTATTTCCCATCACTGACTCCTACCCACAGGGTACTGGTACCCACGGAGGCAATGGACCAGTTAAAAACGACATTGTGCACTATAGCAACCTCGCCTTTAGGCCAGCAGAAGATGTCCTAGAACAGTACTTTGACCCAAAGGGGACTTAGAATACAAAATTAGTGGTCAAATTATTTACTGAATCATCTTCAATGCATGGGACACAAATACAATTTACTCTAATGTTTACATGGAGGAAAATCTCTCTCACGAAATTCGTGATAATAACTGCTGAACAAGCGTGGCGCCTAAATTTGAAAAGCAATACTTTGTACATCCTAAGCCTCGTGTTTATGTTTCCAGACAAAGGATTTTTCACATGAATGCGAGGCATGCGATGTATACGTATTATTATTCAAATATCGGCGCCATTCATGCAAGGTGTCTTTATATTGAATGCTCAAATACCAAGAAGCTGTTGAGACGCTGTACGTACTGAGAGAGTCGTAAAAGAGCGTATTGAGCAGCATTTGCCACCCGAGAGAAATGGGCAAAATTTAGAAAACACAACCTAACGCGGGTGTTTTATTAGTTTCTCAAATGGTCTTTAATGTAAAGATTGTTTTAGTAAAACACCGTTGAGGAAATGCACAAAATGACGAAACACGGTTTCCGGTGTTTCGATCTCTGCATGATATAACATCAGTTTCACAGGCAATCAGAACGCGCGCTTTATCAAATATGTGTAAATGTAAATAATCTGCATATCTTCTGAACAGAATTTTTCTTTGTTCTTTTCTAGATAGTAGAGCATGGGCCAGTGCAGTTTTTATTTGACGAAGGCATCGAAGTAAATTATTGGTTCCCAGTCCTTGCGCGTCAGAAGATGAAAAATCAAAAATCAGTAAACGTGAAAATCATTTAATTTTGCCACGTTTTTTTCAGCTTGTTTTTGCTTGTCATGGTAACGATTCTAAAGCCCAAACAATATTTATTTGACAAAGCTATTCTTTCAATTTTCTATTTGTTATTCTGCATGCAGCGGTTTTTCTTTAAAAGCAGATTTATAAGTCAATAGAGTTCTTTGTCGTACATATAAAGCTGTATGTCATTTGTAATAAGTTTGTGACAGGCGGAGTCATCTACTATATATCTTAATAGCTACAATCGATAATAAATTTTGGTGCCATTTACGTATCGAAAGCAATTTGACTTATATGTAAAACAAATTCGCCGTGGCGGAAATCATAAACATGTTCTCATTCATAAGAATTATTTTTATGAGCAAAAACCAGTAAGAAGCGACCTTTACGACTGCCCATATAACTTAATTTCCTGTCGACGAACAAACCAACCCGCTGGGAATTCATTCATCACAAATGAAATTGCAAAGTTAATCGGAAGACTCGACATAGTGTCCTTTAAAACTGTCTGATTTTGCCAGTCAAATTTTAGTTTTTTTAATTTCATTTTGAAATCGTTTGTCTTCATAAAAGGACGTCAAGGGCATAAAAGAATCGCTCAACGGACGAGGCAGGCTGTTGCTAGTGGCCGGACTGATGGTTGCAGCATATTTTAAAAATCTGTGAAAACAACATGTATGTTCAATCATTTGGCCAAACCGATAAAACTATGTCTAATCTAGTCGGGGAATTTATATTTAACACTGCTTAGTAAGTCACAGGTAAGACACTTCAAGACTTTCTCCTTCGCGATAAAATTACAAAATCGATAGCGATAAAAGACAGAACGCCTGTAAAGTCACAGAAGAATCTGTTCTCACAGTACGTGGCTGATAAAACACCTTTTGGTGTTTTTGTATTGAGGTTTGACGATTTTTCAGTCGTGAAAAACATACCAACTAGAGCGTCGATCGTTTGCAATGGATAACAAGACAATCGTGAACAACACCACACGAGAAGCCGATAACGGAACCGATTCTTCAGGGGAACTCGATTTCATTTCAGATGGACTCACAACAGGAATTGTGGTCAACACCTTTCTGATACTTTTAATCGTGGGAGGTAATTTTCTGGTGATTGCAGCTTACGTGAAAAATCACCGACTTCGCACTGGAACCTACTCGTTGTTAGTGAGCCTGGCTTTGTCTGACTTACTCGTTGGAGGTGTCGCTATCCCAATCCGAATCTACGGTTCCATCAAGAGTTGGGATGTCAGCGTCATATTTGTTTTAGCTTACAACGCGTTTGACATCTTCAGCGCCGTAGCGTCCAATCTTCACTTGATGGCCATATCATTCGAGCGTTTCATAGCCGTTTCGCGACCGTTTTATCACCAAACGCTCTCCGTCTCTCCGTACGCGGTAGCGTCAATGATGTCCTGGACCTTAGGGATTGTCGTCGCCTCAGTACACCCAGCAAACTATTTACAAAACGATAGTGATATATCGCTAAAGTTGAGACTCCTTGAGGTATACTCTGTCGCTTTATTTGCCTTGTGCTTCTTGGGGCCGTTAACAACAATCACAATTTTAAACATCGGGATTTTCCGCATTGCAAGAGTGCTAATCCGACGCGATCCATTACAACACGGAAACATGGGACAAGGAAGGCTGAAAAAAGAGCGTAAAGCGGCATTGACGCTTCTTGTTATGACTGGGGTTTTTTTCATCGCTTGGTTTCCATTTTTTGTTGTCAACATGTTGTACCTGTACTGTATCACTTGCCTCCCATCCTCAATCAACGCTCAGTTTGTAATGGTGGACATCATAAAATGGCTGCATTTCTCCAACAGTGCCATCAATCCAGCCATATACGCTTACCGGGATATCGAAATGCGCCGAACATTCGCCAGACTTCTCGGTCCCTTGGGAAAGTTGTGCGGACTCAATCAAATCGAACCGGAACATACGAATACACAAGTTGTTATCGACATGCAGACAAGATAGTAAGGAAACTACCATGACTGTTTAATTGACGACAATGGTCGCAAGTGCTAGGCTAGGCAGGCCGTTTTTCGAAGATCAGCTTGGGATATTGCGATTCACAAGTCCAGCATTACAATAGCCCACTCTAACAGAACAAAAATGTTTATAATTTACACGTTCGCTAAAAGAGCAAGATCTTTTGTTTTCAAGGTCAATGACCAGTCAACTGGCAATGTATATGCTTTGGATATGGTTGCTCTTGTAGTTATAACGAAAATTATTTACCAGTATTGGTCAAATATTCCTCAGTCGAATTTAATTAGATCTTTCAGGACACAAAGTACATACTTTTTCTACTACTTTATATCAGTTCATAGACATCAAAAACGAAAAAAAAGTTATCCTTAACCCCGTAAAACGATGAAAGTAAAAAAAAAAATCACCGAAAAAAACAACACTCAAATGTTTTTTGCCACTTTACCCAATTCAGTTCAATGCTGCCACCAAGCAAATCATTTATTGAGCCAATTGGAAACTCGATGTGAATATCCAATTGGTTTTAACAAACTAATGATTGCGGAATTCGAAAAGCCGGAGAGACCTGATGGGGAAAAAAATAATTTTGGAGCCAGTTTGTTTCCAGCGCAAGTATATAATTATATACTTTGTATATTGATTCAGTAGTTGAGCCGTTTTCCCCTGCATGCGGTCAATACTAGATTCTATTGACATTTAGTGGAGAAAGAGTACTATTAAACATCAGTCTTTCATATATGAGGTTGAAGTTTCTTATCAAAATAAGCCCGATATCATTAACTTAGCCCTGGCAGGTGATGAAGATTTTCATTAGCCGTTATATAAATATTGAAGCTTGGACATGTCAACTCAACGTTTGCTCAATTTTGATTATCTTGCTTTGTGAGCCAGTTAGTTCCATCGAGTGATACGTGAAAGATTGTCGGAACAAAGTGGACAACGGCTTCTCTGTGATAGGTACAAAACTCAATCCTGAAAACAAAATGAAATCTTTTAAAGATGAGGACCACCTTTCGATAAACTGTGACTAAATTCATTTCAGTTTAGTTATGCATCGAGTAAAATGTGACAAAATACATCGATGAAATAAGTATTAAGAAGACTGTGAAGTCTGTAAACTGACAATTCACATACACTAGCAGTTAAGCCACATGCATGACGCTATACAGTTTTTAGCTTAAATATATTGCTGCCGCAGGCTACATGCAGATGCGAAGACTAAGAGATAAGCAGATCACGGGAGTTAAATTATTCAAAAAGAAATTAATTTCAGGAGGTAAGAGAAAGTGATGAAAGCGGATGTGTAATCTCCTGTAAGAGTTGAATGCGTGCATGAAAATGATTGCAGCGGCAAGAGTTGACAGCGTGCATGAAAATAATTGCAGTCCACACATCAAAGAAAGTATGATTTATTGAAGGTATCTTACTATCCCTTTATCAATACACTTGATATGCCAATAAACCCGTGAAAATTGGAAATGTAATAAACAATAGTAAAGCTTAGCTTTACTGACAAATGATTCATACACTATCATCATGATAAAAGACTGAGAATGATCGCGAGACGTAATCTGTTTCTAAATTGCCTGTGCGTGTCGCCATAAATTGATTAACTTAACAAAATAACCAAAAAAGTAAATAGTGGGTTACTAGGCTTACATACACAACTAGAGTCAGTAACTTTTGACAAAGGGCGGAAAGCGTTATATCAAACGCAAGTAACAGTGTTTTACCACATTTCCAAACACCAAGAAGAGAGTTGAAAATACGACGCGTAGCGGAAGGCGTATTTTCACGAACTTGGAAGTGTTTGCCGAAAATGTGATTTAACACTGTCTCGAGTATTTGATATCTTTTGAATCGAAACCAAAACAAAGTTGAAAACGGAGTGGTAAAATCGTAAAAATCTAAGTTAATTAAGATCGGATATTGGAACACCGCCACGGCTAAGTATGATTTACTCTCATAAATCATTATTGATGAAGAATATGTCATAAGTTGACTGATTGCGTGAGTTATACGTAAGTAACTTACAATTATCTGGGGAATCTTTATCGACTGTATAATTCATCCAGATATATTCTTTTAATAATGCTCTTCTTTTCAGAGAAAAATCCTTTCATAGAACGGATTCCGAAAGCTGCGGGGAGGCAGCATGGCCGGGTGGTTACAAGTTGCCGGAATTAAAATACAGAGGTCGCGATTTCAAGTCCGCTCTGACTACCAAGTTGGAGTTGTCTCTGGGTAGACGCTTGTTCAACTCCTCGGTCAGAGAGGATTTTAAAATCCATTTCGACTATTTGAAAATTTCTTTCTTTCAGTTTTAAAGTGTCTATACGGCCAACAGGGTTTTTGTGGTTTTGTATATCTATAACATCTAAAACTGTATTCAAACCAAAAAAAAAATAATTCCGGTGCTTTTTTTGCCATGAAATCAAGCTTTAAATTTACCGCTTCGACCACGCCCAATGAAGTTGACCGCGTAACGAAAGATTGGTGACGAATGACGTCACTTCAGGAACATCTCAAAGCCTCATGTTTTTATTTTACTTGCTTGACAACCGCATTGTTCCACCAACTTCGTTTTGTTTGCTTTTTGTCGACGAAAATTCCTAACCACTACTGAAACAACAGTGACCTGAGCTAGCAGGATTTTGCAATTCCTGACTTGACGTCACAACCCATTCAGAAAACCAGACTCTTTTTTGCCACTGGCTCACGGTCAACTTCATTGGGCGTGGCTGAAGCGGGAACTTTAAAGCTAGATGTCTTTGGGCGTTAAAATGTCGGAATCCAATTTTTTTTTCTTAGAATACCTTTTTACACATTATAGAGATACCAAACCACAAAAAACCCTGTTGGCCGTATAGACACTTTAAGTGGCATGCCTGAGAACTAGCTAGTTTTAGCTAAGAGCATCGACCACTATAAACACTCAACATTTAACATTTTTTAACATGTTTAAAAAACTATCACGTGACACCGACGATAAAAAGACTGAACGACGAGTCGTTTAACGAAGACACGTTAGAGATGTGTGTGCCTTCCGTCCTGCGTGTATCTAGGGAGCTTAAGCAAGGACGACGGTGACGCCAAGGATGACGCCTAGAAAAAAAAGGAATAATATCAGGGCCGTAGTTAGCAACAGGCAAATCGTGGCACATTATATTGCATGTTTTTCGATTTGTTGTTTTTAGTCACCCTAAACACCCTCAATACCTAGGATCATAATTTCTTCATAGGCATTGCTTCAGTCATAATTTTTTTCCTGCCTACGGCCCTGAATATTTTCCCTTCGAATTGGGCAATTATGAGTACTGACGAGTTACGAAATGCAGCTGCTGACGGAAAACAATATGCATCGATGATCCAAGATAAAGGAAGAAATCAAAATGCAGATTAGATGGTGTTAAAAGTATAAACGCCTTACGGTTTTAATTCTTTTGTTGCCAAAGTCGGCTTTTGTAGCAGTTTGGAAAGGAGTCATTAAACCACTTGTGACGCCATCAATGTCCATGTCAGCGCATGGTTTTGATAAGCAGACAATACCAGTTATATCATTTGCATAGAACTGTCCATTTTGAATATCGACTGCATATTCTGACAAAGCTGATCGAAAAATAAAACCACAGTAGATTTTGATGCAACTTTGGTGGCACATGTAAAAGAGGCTATTACCATCACCCACATTTGCTTCAGGTCTCATTTGTAGCCATTACCACTGATTCAGAACGAAACATTTCCAGCTGGTAGACAG